AGTGTTATGATACTGCAGTAGAGCTTCCTGTTTTGGTATCTCATGATCTAGGCATGCTAGGGTCACAAATTTTGGGTGGTACATAGTTGTTGTACTCTGAAAGAAGTTATGTAAGTTTTGGCTCCCTAGCAGCTAGCGTTCGAACTGCAGGGGCATTTGTTTACAAATTTTGAAGGAGAATAACTCAACTGGTAGGTAGCTGAAGTGATGCTTGACGAAATAAATGACTAATAAAAAAACTAGGGAAATCCTCTGACAGGGGTGCAGTTTTGGCTTTTATTTTGTGTGTTTGCTTTGTCCCAGTACATCCTGAGTACAAGGGAGGCCAGTCTAGACATGTATGGTAATATGACAGACACCTTGACAGTCTTGTCTGTAGACACACTGAAGATCCTGTTCTCCTCAGCGCTGATGTGGAGGTGGAAGATGGGAGCGTTGTGGCCCCGTAACATCCCTGTGGGTTTGCTGAAAAAATAAGACACATTTTGATAATTACCTTCGCCAAGAAGGTTATGTTTTCAGAGGCGTTCGTGTATGTGTGTGTGTGTCTGTCTGTCAACAGCATAACTCGAGAAAGCTTAGATGGATTATCTTGATATTTGGTAGGTGGGTAGGTCTTGATGAGACCTCAAAATGATTAGATTTTGGGCCCCCTGGCGGCTTGTCATGGTACTGCAGCTGAACTTCCAGTTTTGATATCTCATGATCCAGACATGCTAGGGTGACGAAATTTGGATGGCCGGTAGCTCTTGTGCTGGGGATGAAGTGACATGAGTTTGAGCCCCCTAGTTGCTTGCTCTAGAACTGCAGGGGGGTTTAAAGGACAAATGTTTAAAAGAGGATAACTCAAGAACTGATTGATGGATCATCGTGATTTTTGGTATGTAGGTAGCTGAAGTGATGCTTGACATAATGATATTACAATTATTCAAATATTGATGTAATTTGCATAATTAATGAGGAAATTCTATAAATCAGCTGCATTCCATGATAGGAAGTTCAAGCTTGCAACATATGTTATTAAGAACAAGAAAAACACAGGCAAATATCGATTATGCAAATGAAGACTTAATTTGCATAATTAATGAGAAAATGTTATAATTGCATAGTGGTAACTGCCTGAAATTTCATACTTGGGATGTTTGAAAGTTAAGTGAAGGTGAACATAATTTAACATAACTTATTCAAATAAGGACCACATTTGCATGATTTATGAGGAAATGCTATTATGGCATTCTTTGTTAAGATAAGACTGTCTTTTGGTGTAGAATATGATCAACAGACTGATATAATTCATGCAATCTAGGATCCTATTTGCATAATCAGGGTGATTAGTATATTTCTTATTTATAAAGGCTAACATCATTTGGCGAAGGTATGAGATCGTGGAACTCTAGTTGTTATTGCATTGGTGGGCCGATGACTGAATATACCAATCCTTAATGTCTATCACAACTAGCAGTTCAACCAATGACAAAATGGCAATTAGTGATTCGACCAATGAGAAAGTGGCGGCATGTTTGTCAAATATCTGCATTTTTATGTTTCTATTTTTCATTTCTACCTTTTGAAGGAGGATCAGTCGATTGCGAGGAGCTTACAATTGGTGGGGCTAAGTCACAAGGGTCTGTAAATGGCAGCCTTTCAGCACTTTGATAACTTTAATATGACAGTAAATATGCAGGGTACATGTTACCCTGATAAAGGGACACATTCAGTAAGCAGAGGTAAAACCATAAAAGTTGAACACTTTGCATGAAATGTACAGGAATAATAATTATTGTGCTTGTGTCTTACCACACAGAGAGAAATATTGATAACCTTACCTTGGTACATATGGATTCCAAGTCCTAACTATTCTATCCATTCCTAGAAAAAGAAACAAAACACGTATTAGATACTTTTCACTTTTCTTAAATTTCTAAGTATCATCTGTCTGTATAGCTAGCATAACCGCTCTTTGGCGTAACACACCAGCTTCACAAGTATGCAGCGTGGCGGCAGCTGGCTACATTTCACCGAAGGACCAGTTACACCTTACCTTTTCACATCTAACTGTGAGCATTGTTATAAGCTTTCTAGTGATGATTCCCCTGCTGTATTTGGTGGCAATGAGTTCCACTCTCCAATTATTGAACACCTCAATCCTTGGTTGATGGCACTGGTACTTAAAGGCATGTAAAGGAAGGTATACTCAGTAGTTGGTAGGTCACATACCTCCTGTGACTATAAGGTTCTTCTCCTTAGAGAAATCAAACGTCTTGACTCCCTTGTAGATCTTAAAGACTGTCTCGTCAGTGTCCAGTCTCTTCCTGGTCTGTGTGTAGGTGAGGGAGGGCATCTTGGACTTGCTGGCTGTGGACTTGTCGTGAGATATTTCCTTCAGCTGTTGTTCCACATGGGTACTGCCAGATACACAACCTTTGAGGGACGATACAAGATTTATTCATTTATTTTCCATAGTTGTGGAATCATTGACTTAGCAGGTGACTATCACCTTCTCAAGATGTCAACCCTGAGGCCAGACGTTTGAACCACTCACACTGGGAAGGACTGCTACTTTTTTCGATAAGAATGGTGGGATCTTAAACATGCTCCAGGTGTGGCTCTCGTCAAGCACAGGACCTCAGGCTGACATCCTATCCGAGAGGACTATTTGAAGCTAGATGCTCATTTTCACCAGTCGAGTGAGGAAAAAGGTGTAAAGTGCCTTTTCCAAGGACACAACACTGGGGCCTGCTAGGGAATCAAACCGAGAACCTTCTGATTCTGAGTCAAAAACCCTAACCATAAGACCACCTTGCCACCTTGATATGTTCATGAAGGTCAGAGGTAAAATATACTCAATACATACTATTAGTCTGACAATTAAAATTTGACTACAACACGGACAACTGAAGAATCAAGTTTCTGAACTACGTGTGTTGAGAGATATGATCTTTTAAAAATACAAAAGAGGACATCTATCCACTCACCTATGACCAGTGCTGAGTTGGCGTGGTTTGAACAGGAAATGACAGATCTGATGTCGTCATAGTAACGCAGCTGCCCCACCCAATCTCTGTGCACCTTCCATCTGTTACAAATAACAGCGACAGCTCTAAGTCAGTTTATGCTTTAGACTTTTTTTGCTGACAATGTGGTTGATATTCTTCAATCATTCTGCATGACAAACCTTTCGATTTCTGAAAGATGTCTACACGGGACATTATTAATTTTAAATTAATGTTCCATCTTTATAAAAATTGACCCTGCTATAGATTGTACATTCATGCATATCAATAACATGAATACTTTTACTAACCACAAAATGAAACTGGGTAAATTTCACATACCTTATGTATTTTGTGAAAGCTCCATTTGCTACCACTTCTATGTTGACACTAGCTATGCCTTCTGTCTTGGGATATTTCTTCCAGGTTCTGTAAAATAGCAAAAATCCTTGGTCAATACAAATCGAGCACAATATAACCATAGCCTGGTTTCCATTCTGTTTTGAATTTTGTATTTAGCTTCATTTGCTCCTAAGATTGCTTCCCTTGCTGTGTAGTTTAGAATATAAGCAATACAATGTAATTTTGCATATGATCCTCATAACAGCATGGTAACAGTACATCGGCAGAGTGTATTGCACTCGAAACCTTGACTTTTCAGTTTTTGTTAGATGTTTGGTCATTGCGTCAAATAGAAAAGTGAGATTTTGATTGGTTGTGTCTTACCGTAATGTCTCTCCAGTGTTTTGGATAACGACAATGTTGACACATCCTTCACTGTCTCCAAACAGCACCAGGCATTCAGCTGGCCCTGTGGGGCTGAAATATAACATAAATACTGAATAGAATAAACTGATTTAAACTGAGTTACTCTGGTCCAGAATCAAGTATTACAATTCCTGAGTATAAACTGTTAGAGTTGGCTTTGCTAACTTTTTAGGGTTACATGTAAGTCTGAATGCAGCCCAAACTTTGTGACAATCAACTTCTTCAAACTTTCTTGAAAGGACCCTTTCCCTTAGAATTCAATTGCCAACTTGGGCTACAACTTCACCCTAATTATAGGGTCTATAGTTGTTGATTGACTGTCAAACATATAGGAAGGAATACAGAAAAGATTGTTGACATACCAATAGTCCAGCTTCAGTGGCACAGTTTCAAACCCGCTGATCTGGCAGTAGGGTTCAAAGTTGGACAGCTCATAAAATTGGATCTCTCGGTCCCTATAACATAAAAACAATCATTCATAGTAAGAGTCTTCATCTATATATTTATATAACTGCCCTTTGGCATAACACACCAGAATTATGCTTATAATAGACAAAAGTTAAAGACAACGTCTATAAATGATGATGACTGCATGATTCTGCATTATTTGCTGGGCGGCTTAAAATGTACAGCAAACATCAAATACATGTAAGCGATACAGAAGGTGCATTGTATCAGTGGAAAACTCAATTCAAATTCAATATATACCTATTGTGGACAGGTGGAAACTATTTGATTGAAAGAAGATTATAACAATAATTTTGAGACAATGTGATTATCCACTGACCCTGTGCCGATCATGAACTTGTTATACTGTGTCATCAACACGAAGTCTGTGATCCACTTGTTCTTTATTCTGGTGCTCTGTTGTTGCTCTGTCTGTGAAATATAAAGATGACAAAAGACATAGGTGCTTTATCTCCTCCATTAGCAAACATACAAAATATGAATACAAAAGTCATGTATGTAGCTAGTCTTCCTGGAGTTAAGTCATACAAATTCATTACATCAAGATTGAAACATTTTTTACATGCAACTTAACACATAACGTATCATTTCAAAAGTAATATCACATCTCACAACTGGGCTCTTAATGTGTATCATCCATCTATATGATAATTTAAAAACTGATTTGAAATCCCAGACAAAAAAACTTACCACCACTGCTCTTGTTCTCTTCAGGTCTAAGTTAGGAGACCAGAAGGTGACCATTCCATCCTGTCCCAGGGCCATGAAGGTGTTATCTGGTGTGTGAGAGACTTTAACGATGGGTTCCCGGTGGGGTGTACTTCCCATGGCAGCCGGTAGGTGGAACGCCACGTCCTTGTCTCGCAGGACTGCCTCCTCTTTCTCTGCATACTCCAGCTGCATGTACGTGCAGAACTCATCCTGAAACACAACATGAGTGGATTGATGTTAGATTTACATGGGGCTGGGAGGCAAACTTCCAGCTGGGCAGCTACGTCAAAGCAGACCGATTTACGCACAGGAAAATTCAACGTACACAGTTTTTGTAGGCTCGTGTTTGTATGCATATTTTTGTATGTCAAGGTTTTGCCCACTTGTACATCGGGTCTAAAACTTCTTACTTCTGCTAGGGAAAGCAAAATCATCTTGGACCAGTTTAAGTCACTGCACGATGAGCTTATTTTCCAATCGTTGTGACAGAGAGAACTTTATTGACACAACAAAACAGAGGAGACAGATGCTATGTACAGTATTACAAGACTTAGTTAATTGTACCAGATAAATTCCCCTAGCTCTGTTTAAAAAGTACAACCCGCAAGTCAAGTACCACGCAAGTCAGGTGAGCCACAAGAACTGGGTTTGGGTTTCGAACTCCCAACCTCTTGGTCCAGAGGCAGGGTTGCTAACCACTGGACCATGCATACTACGCTATCTCTGTTTTGCTGAATCTGGACAGGTGAACTGAACATAGGACTAAAGAGGATGATGAGAAAGGACTCATCTACCACCTGACCTGTTTTCAACAAAAACATCATCAAATGAGTGGATGTTATGATAACAATGCACCACAGTCTTCCACTACCCCTGACAACGTACTATCACATATCAGGTGACTTATCTGAGTGGTCTTTTCCTAAGAGCACTTTTGAACTACAATGGAAAACTCTCATGTGAAATTTTCTTCAAGAATCATCTTCATCTTTAAGTTTCTGCTCAGCAAAGAAACTTTCAAGAAAGTTTTGAAATTTTGTTTCCAAGAGCACTTTTAAACAAACTTCCCCAAGACGTAGTCAAAGACTACAACAGTTTTACATATAACTGTTTTCCTCAAGAATTGCTTTTATCTTTCCACTCTGCAAAGAATCTTTAAGAAAGCTTGAAAATGTCTTGAAGTGCTAGGTGCCTTCACCAAGACACAAGCAGTAATGATGTTTTGTTCTACAGTTCTACTGAAGATGCCGCCAGGCATAAACTAAGTGGTTTGAGACCAGGTGCACACTTATTGTTATGTCTTACGATGCTGACATAAGATAAAAGCTGTCATTATAGTGTGCCAGCTATACAATAACCTGACTGTCACACTTTCTGCAGACCTCAGTTTAATGACCATACAGGCACTTACTACATACAGGAAAACTAACAACAGGCACCCTAAGTTAGCCTTTGCCAGGCTTTGGGAAGTAGCTGGAGAGAGTAGAAATTGGCCAAATAGAGAGAGATAACATGCCAGAGGAGTTGGTCTGCTATATAGAGAGTACAGTTTGGGTGTGGCAAACTGTAGAGGCTAAAGTGATTTCAAGTTGTCAATGACACCCTGAAATTGCATTTGGATTCCTTTAAATACATTTCATTTTGAGAGGATTAGGAACTTGTCAAGAAATTAAGAAAGTCACTTTGGGGAAGTCTCTTTTAAGGTGACAAATAACCATAATAATCAGGCATGATGATCTTTCTAAACTTTAAAATGCCATTGACAATTCAGTACAATCTTTCATCTCTTTTTCTATTTTGCTGGCAGCTATTCTTTTGGTCCTGCCAGAGTGCACAATGGTTTTTCTCTTTTGACCTTTTCCTGACTGTTCTGTGTGGTAGTATATGTATCACCCCCAGAGGTCAAGCCATGCATCAAATTCTATAGATTCCACCTCAGATAAATGGAACCATGATTATTCCCCATGGTTTCTCGGGCTACGTGTGCGAAAGTTAAAACTTTGCAAAGGGGACAGCCTAGCACGATGTTCAGCACTACGGTTCTGCAAAACCAAGCTTTTTACGGTTTTCGTTGGATGTTTGGTGTACATTGCATCAGAATTTTGCATCGTGGACATGGCATGTCAACTCCTTGAAAACATGGATACGACTTAAGTGCTATGCACAATACATTATTTCACACAGGTACAGTACATTCATAAAAACCAGGTGTGCATGTATTTGTCACCTTACAGTACATTACTTGCATATTCAGACAGTGAGTTGTTTGTTGTAGTTACTTGCTATAATTGTAACAACTGGAGCATTATGTGCATAACTGGGATACCACAATTAAACAAAAATAAGTGACATGAAGTCCCTGAGATTTTATCTGACCTGTGCCCTACCTCCAATTTAGTAAACTATCATTTGGAGTCTGGGGACAATTTTCTAGGACATCTACAAGATCATAAGTACAAGATGAGTTTAGAAAGACTTACCCAAGCAATTTCTCCATCAGAGGATGAGTCTATCTTCATAAACAGGGCAACAATCTGTTCTTCATTCTGAAAAATATATTGAGCATGACTGTAAAAAAAACTGTAATAAATAATTATGAGCATTTAGTAAAGTTATACATTTCATTGACATTTCTAGTGCAAAACAACAATCATAAACAATAAACCAAAAGTCCTGAAGCCTGAGATACAAACATGCATAATAATAGATGGTCTTATAAATATACAGTACACCGGTATGTTCCGACAAACTTATGTTCCAACAACTCAACCAGGAACCTAATAGTATGTTCTAACAAACCAAACCCTATGTCAGAATGTATTTAAGTATTGGAACATAGGGATGTGGGTTAATATAGAGCTGTCCCCATTTTCAACACATGCACTACATTACAATTGCAAAGCAACAGTTGTGAAAGAAAAGTCCAATTCTAAGACAATAATCCTAAAACAAATGTCCAGCCCTGAGATACAAAATACATTATTTATCATAAGGATATCAGTTTAAGATTGAATATCCCACCAGACTGCCATATTTTCTAGGATACGGTGAGTCAGACCCGGGAGAACCTTCTGCCATCATGTCACAACAGTGCAACAACACGCCGCACGAGCCTTTGGTTTACTGAGGTTGATCTTTCCCCTACACCACCACAAATATTCCTGTTGCCAGCACCGGTACAGGGCTCAGGCAGTCAATGGGATGTACCCAGTACACTTCAATTGTAATATGATTCTCTGAGGGCCAAGCTTACCCTGGAAACCCCTATTAGCTATGGATTAATTTGCATATGAAGGACTCCGGACTCCTTTTCTCCTGTGCGTCATACTAACGTGTTTGGACAGTTTTCGGATAATGTTGAACTTGACACCATAGCAGCACCAGATGTTCCTGTACTAATAATATGGAGTCCTTTCTGAAGCTAAATTCCCTGCAACAAAAACGTTGAGTCTAGCAAAGAACCTTAAGGCTTAAAGGACTTCCTTGCAAGGATAATTGGCTATAAGTCAGCCGGGATTTCCTTTAGGTAAGTCTATTTTGAGATATGATGTCATAAGAAAGCGACAAGACTTGTTTCTTTTGCCTTTGCTTCAAAATTCAACATACCGGTATCATTGTTACGTGTATCCAAAAGGTTGGATTCAAAACAGTGATTGTACAATCAACAAACTTGTCGCTCATGCATGAGTGCTTGTCACCAAAAGAGAGGCATAACACATTATGTCTGCCACACAGCTGTGTAAGGTTGGAGTGGAAACTGTGCCCCAGATTGCCATTGTGAGGTAACCATGCAGTAAATGCAGTCTAGCCCGACCTAAGAGAGAATTATTTGTAAAGCTAACCCCATCTAAACAGTCACCATTGTCTCCCTTCTGATATTTTTCCTTTGTGTTGTTATAACTTTCTGTCAATGTGATGCCAGCATGTTACAAACCGCATTAAGGCCACACCAATTTTATCAGTTGGTTCTCGGATTTGTCTGCTTCATTCTTCATTTTTTTCTGATTTGACAAAAAAATTCAGGTTCGGAAATAAAAAAATGCCTAACAGTTGAAAAGAAAGTTCTTGTCTGCCTAGTTGTTGCAGTTTTTCCATTTATTAATGCAGTGGTTTGAATAAAAGTTTTAAAATTCATTGTTTGAATCATAAACCAACCTAGTGTGCTAACTTCATGGCTTCTATCATATTCATATTCATATTTTTTCAAAACTAAGAAGTAATAAATTTGGTGCCATGTGTTTTTCACTACAAATACCATCCATAGAAAAACAACATCCACTAACGTACACATAATACCACCATCCATTTTCAGGCCGTACCAATTCAAATCATTGTTCATGATACCTGCTTGCTTGACAAAAATAGACTTATCCTAAGAACCTTTAAAATGTTAACGTCTACATGATTGAAGCTTGGTGCATCTAATTAAGTACATTTAAACTATGCTCTAAATGCTCCCCTAAGAAAGTATTGCACTGCACAATAGTGCCACCTATCAGCGTGCTAGAGAACTTCAACTGTTGCTGTAAGAAGTTAAGATTTAAATTGTCTTACCCTTCCTCGGATGCCCAAGCAGTTCTTGAGCACCTGCTTGAACTCCTCCAGGTTGAGAGCACCACTGCCATCTGTGTCTGCTTCCTATTGGTCAACGGTCATGCAGTGAAGTTAGGTTATGATAACAATTGACCAACCAGGGACAACAAGGAGACACATGGGCACACACACACATACACACAAGTCATACATATACACACACATACATGTACACACACACACACATACACACACACACACACACACACACACAAATGCCCCTGTCCTTGGTGCTGAACACTAACACATCAAATGCATGTAAATAAATCTATTTTTATATCATGAATGGGCTAATACAGATTCAATTTGCCATTTTAACCTTTAGTCTTGGTAAGGTAGCTGTTTGAAAAAATAATTTCATTCAAGGTGAACAATTGATCAAATTCCAAACAACTCTATTAAAGATACAATTACGTGAGGGGAAGTTACCTTCCAGACAAAATTACAAAATTGTTGGTTACTAAAAACAACAACTTTAAACATACAATGATTGCATCATACAACAAGACTGTCAGCTCATAGGATTGATGTACATATAAAATCAATAGGTGATCATTCACTATAAGCTGCACGAATTCTTGACATGTTATGCATACTGTACATATAAAGTTCCTAAACAAAATTCTTTTAGCCTTCTTGGCATGTTCTATGACTAGGGCTTTTTTTTTAGCTTTTAGAACAAGCTTTAACGCATAATACTTCATACAGTAATATTATTTTTCATACTGGAATAGTTTTTAGGATTTTGGAAAGTATGCAGACAATGTTATAAGTACATCATTTCCCCCATTTTTTATGGTTCACTGGAAATTTGGTGAAGTCTTGAGCTGCCATATAAGATGAATTTCAATTTTTAGTAAACCATTGCCACTTTTTTCTTAGTACTACGACTGATTTTTTTTGTTGATTGTTTTTGAAAGTTGCAAGGGAGAAGGAGGGCTTGTTAGTCTTGAAAACTGAATAATTAGCAGTAAAGTATGCTCTGCAAATTAAAATAGTGTATAACGTTATATACACAAAGAAAAATTAGTCTCAATAAAGTCTTGATAAACACAAAAGTTTCAGTTGTCACTTGCAAAGAAATTGTACAAGATATATGACCAAATAATGTCATTTTCTAGAGCCATTTCAGCATATATACTTCTAACAGTTCACCACAAGGAGAATTGCTTGAAACATTGATAAATTTTCTAATTAGCACAAATAATGCCTGAAGTCTTAGATGAACACAAGAGCTTCCTTCCTGTTATGATGAAAGCCGGGGCATGCAGCAGTGTACATTGTTCTGTTGTTATTTGCAAGTTCTTTATTCAGGAAATTGACGAATTAATGGTCAAGACGAAGCACAAAGCACATTTTGTTCTATGCTGTATTACAACTGATTGAAAAAAGTCATAAATCAAAATCGACAAAAAAATCAGATACGAAGCAATTACTGCAGGTATTTCATGCCATATTGGACTTAATGTACTTATTGAAAAGGGTTTCCGGAAAAGGCTGGGTGGGCTGGTAGTATGTGCTACCTTGCACGGCTACCCAAACCATTTCTGGAAACCTTCATAAATGAGTACATTAGAAAGATGATACGTGAGGAAATATTACACGACACTGAATGGACAAGACATCATGCATGCATAGATAAAAATGCAGATTAATAGAATCAACATAAACAACGAGATTGAAAATATCATTGATATTTTTTGTATCATGCAATGTAAAAAGGAAAGAAGCTGCTGGTTCATCCAAGACTTCGCACTCTGGTTCTGTTGCGGTTGCTTACCCTACGCCAACTGACTTTACGCCGGGTGCGGAGAGGGATGGGAAAGCCTTGTCTGGCCCTGTCTGCTCTATAGTTCTGAATGTTAGACGTTAAGGCACACAATTAATAGCTGCAGGAATTGAGGCAAGACAAGAGATTTAAAGCACTACATCTAGGATTCACAACAACTGGAAACACACAAACTAAGCAGGGTTTCTGGTAAGCAACTACAAGATTATACATCACTCAAGCCCAAGAAAAGCAGTGCAAGAGACATGCATTAATGGAAGTGGACTGGGAGTGGTATGAGTTTTATCAATCACCTGATTTCTTGAGACATTTCGTAAGTTAAATCCATTTATGTGTGCATTACTGATGCTGCTGTCAATCAATGTTCTACACAGTGCTGATTGGGTGCTGCTAAAGACACAATTCAATTTGTTGGGGAAGTGTCAATCAATGTTTACACAGTGCTGATTGGTTGCTAGTACTAAGGCCACACCAATTCAACTGATGGGGAGGTGTCAATCAATGTTTTATCCAGTGCTGATTGGATGATACTAATTAAGGCCATGTCAATTCAATTTCCTTGTGTTTGTAAACCAAAGATCAGAATGTTTTCATGTTAACCTCCCAATCTAGTGATAGTAACTGTTATATGTTTTTATATCCAGGAACAAATTAAATTGGCATGGCCTAATCTTGACTTGGAGTGGCTGTTACATGAAAGACAAGTGTGAACGTCGTACCTCATTGGTGACCTGACTTACCTCGAAGTAGTACTTGAGCTTGTGCAAGTGTTCCAAGCTGATACGCTCCTCAATCTGAAACAACAAAAATGTCAGCTGTTAAAAACTGCCACATACGGAAATCACACTTTCCTCTCAAACAATCTAATGACAATTTGTTACAGCAGAGTAAAGTGTATATACAGTATATTCTCTTCTTTGTTGTCACATAGTCTTGTTAACATGTTGTCCATGTCTGATGACCTGTAAGACTGTTGAACATAAATATCGTTAATCTCAAGTCTTGACTATTGTAGCATACCTTAAAGTTTACAACTGCAACAACTGTATGGACTGAACTGAATCAATTGAGGTAGTATATCAGAAATAACCCCGTAGACATTGTTTAAATCTTCATATAACTAGACAATAAGTAATACATTGTAGAAGTCTGTGCCCATACATTTGTACCTAAGTTGAAAATATAATGGTATGGCCGTGGAAAATAATTCTTTCAAATTGCATCACATTTTTCTACTCTTACCCATTGAACCTGAATTGTAACAAAACTTGAATGTGCAGCCAGGTGGACAGATTAAAAAGTGAAGTGAACTGAGTGATTAACTTATATTCAAAGATACATGTACTACAAGAACTAACACTGACAGATAAAATTTTGAAGTCTTAGATTAAATGTTGAACACTTAAAGGTAACTGGTTCATGTAACATTATTTGAGCGGATGTTTAGAAGAAACTGACCTTATTTGTGGCCCTAAAATTGTTTATTTGGGCAGTCTAGTGTTTTTGTGCACACATTTAACTGTCCATTAATGCTGTCTTTGCTAGCATTTAACATGTACCTCTGGGTATCACAATACACTGAAATATACAACAATGGGCTATACGACTAATGCATTGTTTTGACAATCGAGTGAATGGTAAATGGTTTCAATTGGTGTGTTTCAAATTCTATACAATTTCCCGAAATACATAATAAGAAGAAATACAAATAACTGGAATCAACCACAGTTACTGTAGTACCTTAACTGTACCAATTTCTATACTTACCCATCCTTTTCTCCTAGGAAAATCCAAACTCCTGTATGCCATACCAATATACAGTCTACAGACTTAATCCACTGTAAGCTCCTTGTTCTGTACACTTGTATTTGTACTCTGACCTACTGAACTGTGCAGATTTCAAATTCCCCAGGTGTGTCTTAAGCACTTGTAATACGTAAAGGTGCCCGCACTTAACACAGCCTCTTCAAAGACTGGATCTAACCAAAGAGGGACCGTTCCTTAATTACACAGGGGAATTATGTATCAGGCCTTCTGTTTGCTTTATGTTTTATATGATCAAACTCAATTTTTGTTTATTTCCTTTTTTTAAATTGAAAATTTTTGGTTTTTAGAGGTAGCTCATTAAAAGGGACATTATGTAACATTTTGCACCAAAAACTGAAATATTTTAATTGAAAAATATCCTCATGTGATTGCAAATTACTTCCACTTTTCAACATATTTGTGCAATTATCTCACATTTCTGACATTTACTAAGTATGGTTGGCACTAAAACAGCCTATACGAGGTGCACTTATTTTGTGGCACCACCACAAAATACCAGAATGTAAACAAACATGGCTGACAGCACCACCAGGAAAGATGACTGAATGAGTTTTCCCTAGATAGAAATTCTCTCACCATAGAGACACCATGGACAAATCACTGCAGCAATTCATAGCAATTCAAAATGCTGTGAAGGGTCATTAATAAGTCATGGCCATATTGAAAAGCTATCAGCATAATTAAAAGTTTTCTGCTGTATCGCGTGATGGGAAGACAAAGGGACGATCGAAAGGAAAGCACAAACCCTCAATCATGTATTCCCCTGGGGATTTTCAGCATTATAAAGAGCTTCCTGACAAATTAATTCCACTTGTATAAGCAATGATAATCATGAGTGTTTCAAAATTTCACCTGCTATAAATGGCACATCAATAAGATGTTTTAATACTAACAAATACAGATCTGGGCTAGAAATACCACCATGTATATTGGAAAAGTGCTGAATACAGTATTTCTTATGTCTACTGATGTCCAAAGACCATGTAGATATATGTGGATTTTTATTTGTTGTTACCAGCTATGAAGTACAAATTTAAAAGAACTAATGGCAAGTTTCTGAACAGTGTTTAATGTGATTCATGCTTTACTTTTCCTGCTTCTTCTTATCTAAAAGTGATACATCATTCCCTGGCCCCTTAAACTTTAAAATGGACTAGCCCAGCCTTGCAATTCCCAGAGGATGAGAACAGGTGCAGCCATTGTGACATACCATTGCCATGGTAACTAGTTGCCATAGTAACTGTTTAATGTTGCCATGGTAACTAATTATTTAGTTTTTTTCAGATTAATGTACAACAATTGAATTTTTCACTTAGACCACACTTATATCTGGTGGTTCAAATTTCCTTCAACTTTATCACACTTACTGTCAGACTTAGCTGTTAGGCTACCAATTTTCTGTTGGTTACAGTGTTAGGCAACAGGGAGAAGGTTAAGCTGGGAAAAAGTGATCTTAACAACCACTATCATTATGGCGAAATGATACTGTAACAGTTTTATTTATTTGCAAAGTCCGCTTATTTCTCCCTCTGAGCATACAATGTAGAGGTACAGCTCATGAGCACCACTTAGCAGTTTGAGATGGTACTGCAAGTGATTCCACTAAAGCCACATTTGCTTCTCATATAATAAATAAATCTACAAAGAGTCATACAGGCATGGCAACATATCCCTGTGCCAGAACAGGTGTCCTAAAGTTCAACTTAAGTTTTGACCCCCATTGAGTGCCACCTAGCAGCTTGAGATGGTATTGCAAGTGATTTCAAAAAAGTCTACTTCCAGGTAGTCTACATATGGTAACATATACCTGTGCCAGTGCAGTATATCTGGTCAGAACAGGTGTCCCAAAGGTCAACTAAAGTTCTTGTTTAGACTCTCCTTGGGTGGGGCAGGAGGACAATAGTCAGAGTGGGGCAGGGGATACAATGGCTGAATGTAGTGTTAAAAAGATCCCTGGGTCAGACGAAACCCAAACCCTAAGCAAAGTTTCTATCGTTAGGCTATTGGAAAAACTTTGAATGCAAGGGAGATAGTCAAAACTGCCATAGAAGACCATTCGGGACCAACAAAATCTGGTCTATGTGGACAGGTAGTCCTTTTAGACAGAATTTTTAATGCTTGCATCAATGTCTATAGTATATACCTTGTGTAGAGGTGTTTCAAATTCCTGAAGACTATTAGCTTCACTGCACTACCTCTCATTTACAGTGAGCAACCAAGCATGTAATTTACAACTGATCATTGGATTAGGCAGAAAAGCTGTGTTATGCCAACAAGTTGTTTTTCTTGTTCCATTTCG